ACAAAACAAGAGAAAAAAAAAATCACCATAGAAAGAACTGGACGCACCAGTTAGAGATGACATGGCAAAAAAAGTCAATGGCCACTCAATAGCAAAGGCTACTGGTGCAAATTACATTCCCCCAAGGGAGTCCCTTTTCCTTGGATTTTTTAATTTTTTTTTTTATTATTATTTACACTTTTGCTTTTTCATTCTTGCTTAGATTTGTTGGCTTTACTTTCTTTTTGATTGTTAAAACAATCTCTTTGTAAACATTTTGACTGAACACCAATACAGATATACTCCCTGAGCATTTCTCCTTGGATATCGTGCTCCACATCTTCTCAATAGTGATGATATCTCACCTTTGGTGAAACTGGCTTTTTTCTTCTTTTTTTTTTTTTATTCTCTCTCCTTTCTTTGTTGGCTTTTTAAATTTTTCAAAAAGGAAGGAATAGGGAAGGAATGGAGTTAAATTATTACAAAAAAAAAAAAAAAAATATCTAAAAGGGAGATATTGATTAATTACTTAAGATACATTGAGATGAAAAATTATGGGAAAAAATTAAAGTAGAAGCTAAAAAGTAACACTCTTGCTAAAAATTAAGACTAAGTTTTTTTTTTTTTACTGAATATTATATCAAAAGTAGAATAAATGATTGTACATTCAGTAGTAACTTAATGAAATCTTTAAAATATAAAACCAAATGGGGGGAAAAAAAACTAGATAGAAAACATTTTATCATATGTAAAAGTATAGGCAACATTTTAATGTTGCACAAGAAAACTATTAGAATCAAAGTGTGTCTCCAAGTAATTCAGCTACAGCATTAACCTTTTAGCATTCAACTCATCCAAACGCTGTAAACCTCACTGTAACATTCCCCATTTATACTGCCATAATATATGATGACATCACAAATCACATCATAGGAAGCCACACAAACAGTGAGACTATGAAAGCAGATATTTATGGAACAAGTTTGAGCATGTTGAATGCTAAAAGGTTAAATATAAACAGATTAATCAATCTGATTATATTTAAAGCTGTAACAGTTTATTGGCGATAGGTTTTGATTCTAATCTATGTCACAGATTAAAAAAAAAAGAAAACGAAAAACGGCTGGAATTATGCATGCTTGCGCCCATTTCAAATATGAGTATCCACTTTAATGTATTTTTTTTAGTATTAAAAATGATGGATATATACTATGTATGTATATATGTGTGCATGCATGAACATCAGATCTGCCACTCTCTGCAATGAAAAAGCTTTTTGTGTGGCCTAAGCAGAACTGAAAATTTACATCACTTGCAGAAGTATCATTAAAGAACTTTTAAATTTAACCAAAATGGTGAGTGTATAACACACCAATTCCCAACACACTTCAAATTCCAGATATTTCAAAGAGGATAATATCAAAACTTTAGGTTTACAGAAGCATTTTCCCAAATAATTACAGTAGATTAATTCAAAGCAATTTCAGAGAATATGGTCAGGCCAGGCTTTAAGCCTGCTACTGGTAACATGTAACCCAGTACAACCTGCTGCATGGAGAGATGGTTGGCATCTAAACCAGCTCCCCACTAGCTTTTCTGCTGGCAAAGATGATGCCATGTCATCCCACAGAATGAGAAACCTCCCAAAAGGTGGATGAGCTTCTTTTAGGAACCAACATGTGTGTGTGTGTCTGCATGAAAAAGTAAAAGGACTTAGTGTGCCATATGAGTTATGAGTGAAGTAGGGATTAGTGGGTTGTGTCACCATGTGACGTAATATCCAGGAAGTATAGAACTGCAATTTTAGCTCTCTGCAGCCATTGTATGTTTTTCCATGTTTTATTAACAGCTCTTCAATTTTAGGCCGTCAAGCATTGGACACAGAACAATGAACCAATCTGAAGTTTCTGGCCTGAGTGGGGAAAACTCCATCAAAAGCACTTGGACTATTGCAGCAAGTGTATGGAGAGGAGACTGTGTTGCATTCCCGGGTTTTTGAACAGCACAAGAGTTTCAAAGAAAGATGTGGAAGATGACCCTCAGGAGTAGAAGGCCTTCAATGAGGCTAATGTTGAGCACATAAGGCAAGTGGTGCATGGTGATCATTCATTGACTGACTGACCGACTGATCACAAGTGAGCTGAGCATGAACTGTGAAAGTATAATGAAGATTATCACTGAAGATTTGGGCATGAGGAAGAACTGCATGAAGATGGTGCTGAAGCTGCTGAATAATGACTAGAAATGGCACATCCAGGTTTATCAAGACATTTTCAAGCAATCTGAAATCTAACAAGACTTACTAGAGAGAGTTATCATTGGTGATGAGTCATGGATTTTTGAGCATGACCCAGAGACGAATTTATTGGAAGAGTCCAGAGTCACCAAGGCCAAAGAAATCAAGACAGGAGAAGTCCAAACTCATATTCAGCACATTCTTCAATGTGAGGGGAATCATACCGAGTTCTTGCCACAGGGTTAGACGATCAATCAGTATGTTTACAAATAGATCCTGCAGCATTTGCTTCATTTAGTGCATGAGAAGAGGTAAGAGTTGTGGCAGGACAACACACCGTCTCAGAACACCTTGAGCATCAGGCAATTTCTTGCCGAGAACATTGACATACTGGAGCAACCTTCCTACACACTTGACAAGGTTCTATGTAATTTTATCCTTTACCTCAGGCCCAAGGAGGTCATCAAGGGGACCAGTTTTCTGGATATGGAAGCCATCAAGTGGGCCATGATGACAAAGCTGCAGAGAATCCCACAAGAATCTACCCAAGAGTGCATGGAGAAGGATGCAAAAGTGTGTTAGACTCAAAGGGGATAACTTTGATGGGGAAAACTTGTAGTTTGGATTTGACATTTTTTTTATCTTCAGTCTCATTTCTTTTCTGACACACCTTGTGTGTGTGTGTGTGTGTGTATATATATATATATATATGATAGGATGGAGGTGCAAGGTTTGAATGGCAACCTTCCTAGAGATGGTTTCTCAATAAAATAACCATGTATTTGGACTACAATGAGTGTCCAAGTTGGACATCAGGAAGGGCATCCAGCCCTGTAAAACTATGCCTCAAATCATAATGACAGAGACCTTCTCTCAGGCAGGACCCACCTTGCTGTGTGTGAGATTAATCCCAGTCGTGCCTCAACAAAAAAAAAATAAAAAATAAAAAAATGTTGCTATGAATGTTGAATGAAATAGCAAGTTCAGATGGTAACAGGTTGGAAGGAAGGCTCTGATTGGTTGTGTGCCTCTGAGGACATAAGACAAATTAGGTCTGGTCAGACAATGAACAGAAATGTGTATTTATTTGGGTAGGTCAATCCAGAGTCTAGAAGAGACATGTAGCGTGAATACACTAGCTGTCAAGATACAAATTTTTCATCCATGCTTTCCCTTACTGTTTGCAACAGTATTTGAAAAATAAGATATCTCACTCACAGTTACCATGAAAAATAGATATTCTACACAAATTGTTTGCCTTACAATTCCACAATATTTTTCTTCATTTGATGGACCTTTCTTTCCAGCTGCAGTTGAAGCCATACAAAGCTTCTTGCTGAAGACGCCACAGTGGATGTTTCATCTGGCAAATTCAAACAATGTAGCTAACTCAAATATTCCAAATCTCTGGCTGTAAATTATAAAAACGTTTAATAAATTCCTTGTTTGTTCAGTTAAGCATGAGTGACCACTAGCAAAATTTTAAAAGCAAGAAAATAGTCTATTTATCTTTTTCCTCTATCAGACTTGGTTTCCTCCTTTCCAAATATACAATTTCATTAACACCACATATAGTCTTCAAAATATGTAATAATTAGATTCAGTATATTATTTATTATATTTGCAAATACTCTCAAATCTATGCTAATGAAATGGAAAGGCAGATAAAATTCTCAAGAGATAACTGAATCAGAGCATATCTTATCCTTATAAAGAGGTTTGTGCAAATCTCAAATTTAAATAGAAAAAAAAAAAAAGAAGCTAACATTTCACCAGCAAGACGAATTTAACCCTCTTAAACCTCAAATTGTATGACCTTGAATTTTTTTTTTTTGAACTTAAAATTATAATGAAAGTTAGGAATGCACCACACTTTTGCTACAATATTCAGTATTTGGTAACTGTTTCTAGTGAAAATAAAGAGTTCTAAGATTCTATTTTATCTCTCTTGAAAGAGATTATCTCCATAGAAACAAGTTATATAAGGACCAAAAGAAACAGTAGAAAAGGAATCTGGGAAGGGGTTGAAGAAAGAAAGAAACTGATACTTCTCTTCAATGTTGAATTGTGGCTTTTTCTGTTCCAAGCAGTGCCAGTATCATCAGCTTGTTGCTCAGAAAGCAATGACGTACAGATTCTGGAATGTAGCTGACTCGGAAGATACACCACACAGGACCACCTACTGTCAGATACAGCAGCAACAGGTCAGTAAGTGACCAATATATTTTTTTAAAACCCCAGTAACTTATTTTTCTCTCTCTCATAAATATTTAAAAAACAGACAGCTGAAAATGTTGAAAGAAAAAGTATAGATCATTTTGCGCGCTGCCCCCCTCACATCCTCTCAGTATTAATGGTCTCCCAACTTAGATGTACTAAGCTTTGGATGGCTCATGGTCATGGTTGATAATGACCAATATATAGTGACATAAAAATAAGAAACCTTTGTATCAGTGGTTTCAAATCAATACAGGGTTTAATATAATACTGCTGCTGTTGTTGTGAGAGGGAGAGGAAAAGAGAGAGGGAGAGAGAGAGAGAGAGAAAGGAGTAAGGAAGGGAAGGAGAGTGAGAAACTGCATGATGCTTAAACCAGGGGCACAAAGAGAATGCTGTACCTGGCCTTGGGATGACACCAAGAATATAGCCACAAATATCACCAGTTAGAATTCTCTCCACGCGCAGCGATATGGCTTGAGCATTTTCAGATATTTTTTTTTTTCAAGGCATTTCTTGTTTTAAAGCCAAGTTGGAAATTTCCAAAGTAAAGGAAATTGGGTCTCACCGATCATTTAAAGACATTCTTGTTGTGCTTTTTAGCACAATCTTTGCTGGGACTTGAGCCATCTTGTTATTGATCTATAAAGAACAAAAAAAAAAAAGAAAAGAAAAAAAGAAAAAAAATCAAATCAAATTTAGTTAACATTGGAAAACAAGCATGTATACCCATAAAAACAGACATTATAATTTTTATAATCAATAAATAGAACAGAAACCAGATTTCAAAATTTAAATATTACATGCATTCACTAATGAATTCAAAAAAGTGGTTCCACAAATTTTGACAATATGTTTCAGTTACAAGTTTTTTTTTTTTCTTATTAAAAGTACTAGAATGGCGATTTTTAAAGCCTAGCTTAGATGTGGCACAAGGCTAAAAGCATGGGGCACCCAGTGAGGGCCGAACTCACTACTTAGTTATAATTGTTGTAGCGAGACAAGCTTGCTAACCATTACACCAAGTCAAGATGCTCTACAAAAAAAAAAAAAAAAAAAACGAAAAAAAAACTATGTATTAAAATTCTTTAGCAATAACATTTTACATATTTAATGATATAAAAAAATACTAGTAAAAAGACAAAGTTATATACATAAAAATTGTATCTCTGATAAAACCTTTTTATTAACATGTACTGATAAACTATAACACATTTTGGCCTTTATATAAGGCTTTCAGAGAAAAATGTACAATTTAGAGATACAATAGACTATCTGCAAGTACACTTATAATTAAAATTACAGAAGCAATTTTTTTGTATTATCCAAATCAACTAAGATTAATGATACTATAACTTTAAAAATGTCACAACAGGCAACTTTTTTTAATTTTAAGTAGGTATTAATTTTGTATCAGAACAAGCATAGATTTAAGGCAGCAAAAACTTAAGCCAAACTTTTCAAGAGAGCAGAAGCATTTGATAATTTAAACAAAGTCTACACAAATATAGTAGAAATAAATAGGAATCTTTATCAACTGATCTTTATGCCTCAAGTATGCAGTGCTATTCTTACAACTAACCGTTGTATATCTTTCAATGTATAAGATATTTGTACAAAATGTAGAAAAAATGTCAAGTATTTATTCCTTCTTCACTTATATTAATGGGACTAGGATTGCACCACTTTCTGATAAAGTTGATCTTCAAAAATTTAGACGCATTGTCAAAAGTTATCTTGTCTTCTTAATTCCCGTTCTTTTATTGTTCTCACTCCTTAACATGGTTTTATTTTTTCTTATGTAATTTCACAATCAGTAACCCAGGGTCTTAGTAGCTTTATTGTCTAGCTTTAGGTGAAATGATTTAAAAAACATGTTTGGTCAATAACACTAGCTAAGTTTCTAGTGGTTTAAGTTTGGGTCTTGTTTTTGGAAAATTTGGAGTCATTGATTTAAAAAATGGCATCTGTTTTTTTCCTATTACACAATAAAATCTTAATCATATCAAATTTCCCATGCAAGATATCTGAGTGTTGGTATTGTAAATAGCATCAGTTTTAAATAAAAAATCTATTTCTAAATAACCATTACTGATGTTCATTTTGATGCATAGACAATATAAAAATTGGAGTAAAAAGTTTGGCTAAGTTAAGGAACAGTATGTACTTAATACATTTTTATTTTTACTTTTCAGATTGATGTCCTAAAATAAAAATAAATCAGCAGAATTATCTCAACTTGAAGAAAATATTTGAAAAGTACAGATTCTTTGTTATTTTTGTGGAAGTTTTACAGTACCAAGCTAAAAGTGATATTTGGCTTACTTTCAAATTAGACTTGGCAATCAAGACAAAATGTGGGCCCTGCATCAAGTAAACCATATATTGAATTTATGGACAAAAAGGGAACTAAAGATAGGCAAGAATTTGGCATTTCAATGATATGGTAAGATTCAAAAACCACATAAATGATAGTTATGTTTGCCTTGGGAAAATATTTGGTTATAAGAAAACTTGGCAGAAAGTCAATTACTCAAATCCAGATTTAGCATTTTGCACAATGCCTCCATTAAAACTCAAGATGCTTACCTACTACATGTTCTGGAATACAAACTCATAATGATGGAATTATTATTGAAATTATCTTTACTTGTAAAGAAGCATTGGGTTAAACTAAAAATTTAAAAAAATTAATTTTAGATTCCTGGTTCTTTGTAAATTGAGATACAGGATAATTTTTAGAATCAGTGTTGTAATGTTTATTTAAAAACCATAGTTTGTGTTGCAATATTTCTATTTTCAACTGTTTGGCTGAAAAATGTCCAGAGCTGAATAGAAGTGTTTTATCCTGTTTGTAGGTATCCTAATAGTTATTTTTGACCTTCATGTAATCACCCACTCTGCAAGAAAAATAAATAAAAATAAATATAATAAAAAAATACTTGTAATAAATGTGTGATGGCATAAAAACTAAAAAAAATGCAAAGGATGCAATTAGTTAACTGTTTGAAGATATAACTGTACAATAAAAAATTATACCGGCTTTAATCTCTAAGATCAGAGGGATAAAGTGTCTTATAATTTACTTGAAAAATGAACTTAAAAGCTAAGCAAGTTGATTTTTCAGCTTACAAGTCACTGCTGTGAAATACTCAAAACTACAACTAAAAATAGGTTCCTCTATATACTTTAATAAAAAAAAGTTGTAACCAAAAAACTTGAAACTTGCATAAAAGTTAAATTATCATCATTATCTTTAATTGGAAGAAATTCTAAGATTAATAAATTGTGCAGAGTTTATAGATACAAATTTATTTGAAAAATAAATTACACTGTATAAAAGTTTGAAACAATCATTTATAGAAAAATATAATATGAAAAACACACTTTCAAAATCTAATCATGTTTTCATATAGGTATGAATTCATTTATGAAAATGATTATTTTAAAAGAAAAGTTTGTGGAAATAATTTTAAGTCAGTCAAAAACTCTTTATTTAATTTAATGAAATTTAAAGATTTTTAAGCATTAAAAATATCTTAATTCCTATGCTAATCAGTAGAAATTTTACCTACCTTGAATTTTAAAATAAAAATTTTGTCAGTTATACTATAGTTATAGAGCATATGACAAAAAAACAAATCTGATACCTACTCTCAAGTATGCATTTTTTTTTTTTATCTATAAAAAAAAAAAAAAAAAAAAAAACAGTAAAGTGTGCCTATATGTATGATGTTCATTTTATTTCCAGTAGACATAAATATTACAAAATTGAAATAAACTTAACATTTGTTGAAATTCCTTTTATCTACTTCTTGTCTTTGAAAATATATCTAATAGAGCCCCAGTCAAATTTTTATTGGAAAAACCACCAGGACCAAATTAAGCATAATTCATTCTTAATTTAAAAAAAAAAAAAAAAAATTAGAACAATTTTTGTTTTTTTTTAAGTTAAAGGCAAAAATTGCAGTTTTTTAAGGCCATTTTGCAGTGGTGCCGTTGTCTAAACTCATCTATATATATATACACACAAACCTTTTGTATACAGAACCCCCATCAGCTGACTTTGGATGCAATGGACAAAATCTACAGGGAAAAAAAAAAAAAAACAGCTTGCAAATTGTCAGTGATGTATTTCAAAATTTGCAGGCTTAGCAGAATTAGTTCTCAAAGTGACCACTTGGCAGCAGTGACAGGCCTTTTAATTGTAAACAAAGATGGATGTACAGTATATAAAGTACAATACATTAGTGTGTGTGTCAGAAAATAGCTGTGAGAAATATATTATTTTTGTTATTTTGATAAATATATCTATATTAAGTATATATTCATTTATGCCATATATACATGTTTATAGTATTTACATTATGATCATAACTACTGGTAGTTACTAGTGGTTTTATATCTCAAAAATAATCCCTTCCCATCTACGGACAATCAGCTTTAGCGGACCACCCCTTCCCCCTATTAGCCTGTTGATGAGAGGTTTGTATATAACAAAAAAATATACAAATCTTAAAAATCAGTTGAGATTAATTCAGCTTATGATCCCATTCTTATGGATTAATGTAACATTATTGAAAATGTTATACTTTCATACAAAATTATTAAAGAGCACAAAATCAAACTACTTCAACCAGAACAGGTATTTATGTTTCCTTGACAACTATACTGCACTTATTCCACCAAGCACATTACCAAGAAACAAGATCCTTTCAAAAACTATTCTACAATTTTTCATTAAAACCAGTAAATAAAATTCCAATTAGAACTTGGTAGCAGTCACTTAATTTTTAAATCTATGATGCTGAATATAAGTAGAGCTAATATTTGAAGAAATTCTATAGCTTTTGTAAATAATGTTAAAATAAGGAAGTATTTGCATACAATCACAACAGAAAATGTCACATCCCCATTACATTTTGCCAGTGTCTATAATTAAAAATGCCTTGAACTTATTCAGGCAATAGACATGAAATATTGGATTAACGTTCAACTATTATTTTATTGTGTAAAGCCTTAATATAAAAAAGTTTTAAGTTACTGAGAGACAAATTTTAAAATTTTGTACATTTATTTTGTATGGTACTGAAAATGATCTTTATTGTTCAAAAGGTCAGTAAAAAAAACAATGTGACTATATTTATTAACCACACAACTGTTAGTAATGAGATATTCTGTTATAGCAACAAAATATCACTCAGTATCAACAAGAATGAAATATTTGTAATTAAAGGAGATAAAGCTAATATATTGCTTTTTTTGTGGCTATTTTTAATGATTTAAAAAGCAAGATTTGATAATAGCTAATTGCATAAATAAAAGTGTTTATTCCTCATGCAGAAAATATAACCAACATAGTTACAAAATTAAGACATTTTTTGATACAAGTAAACTAGTTTGTTTATATATATATATGTGTGTGTGTGTGTGTGCATGCATGCGGGCACACAAGCAGGCAATATTTTTCATAGCAAATGCACAATTTCTGAGATATGAAATCTACTTTTTGAAAAATCTAAACTAATGTTATTCTATATAAAAAGAAAACAATTTTAAAACTCGGTTTTGTAGTTGTGAAAATGTCAGTTATAAAGTGTCAATTGCAAATATTACCTTGTCGATGTTTAATATACACAGAAATTATATATAAGAACCAAATAACTATTTTTTTAAAATAAAGTTTGTCAAATTTTTTTAAAATTTCCTTTCAAATAATAATAAAAAAGAATTAGATGTGCTGAAGAATTTCATTAACACTATATATGCCTATGTGCTTTCTTTACATATTAAGACTTTATAATTTATTATAAAACTGATATAAAAGAAAACTTCTTTATTTCAAACACTCACAAAACAATGTTTTTTCTTGAACATTCTCAAATGCCATTATTTGTTTTATTTTCTTGATTTAACCATAATACAATTTAAAAAGTAATGTACAAACATTTACTAATCCAATGTTTATTACTAAACAAAAAAATATTGCATATATTACAAGCACTACTATACTACTTTCCCACTTAATTGCTATCAAATGCACGTGTATCATCAATGCAAAAGCACATATATACTCTCCCCAAAGAACATGACTGCAAACAAATATAGATACACTTGTACTAATGTGGAACCACATCCCAGATAAAGACTATGTGATAAGCCCAAACAGATGTAAACCTGAAGGAGCCGAGTCAGGACTATGAAGTAGAAAGAGTAAAACATCCCAATAATATTGCTGAAATCACCCTTTTGTCAGGTCAATCATGTGTGGTGGTGACAGTGTTGTGCAGAAGGACAATACCCTTTTTGCAAATGCCTTGGTCTCTTTTGATGAAGAGCTTTTCTCAGTCTATCCAATGTTTCACAGTATCACACACTTTCTGATCATACTGTATGAGGTCAGCAACAGCACATATTTTACATTAACAAAGAAAACAATTACTATCAATTTCTTCATTCACTGCTGACCTTTGAATTTGGAAGGAGGTAATGATGGATGCTTCCAGATCATGGAATACATCTGGAGTAACAGATGTCTCAATTCTAAATCTCATGCCTCATGATTATGTGTACCAAAAAATCCCTATCAGCTTCATTATACCTTTCTAAAGTTTGAAAAAGAAGTGACCATGCAATAAATTCGTGTTTTTCAGTCAATTGCTTCGAGATCTAAAATTGGACTGCCGCCCTTGTCATGTAAAAATCTTATTAGACTTTGCACCTTCATACTGACACACTTGTCCCATCAGTACATGTGCACAAATTCTTACATCATACCCCTATTTCTTCCCACTGTTTTATGTGCGAGTTATTTGTTATGATGTCACATATGTATGCAGTCAATATTAAGGCTCTCCTGGCTGCTACAAGAAATATTGTATATCCTCTATTGTTGTTTCACAATATTTGAGTGAATAGATACCTATCTGTACCTTGCTTTTAAAGATATCCCTCATAGCAAGAAAATATTTAAAATCTTATCTAAACTACTCAGAACTGAACCGATAAGCACAACTGTTTTAAATTTTCTAATGTCTTCTTTCTACTAGCTATAAGACACTTCAATAATTTACAATGTAGCTGGCTGTATAAGTGACAACCATTTACTGTCATCTTTGACATAACTTGCAGTACTTAATGTAATTTGAAAAAACAAGTAGATTTAAAGACTTCTAATGTTTTTTTATACAGTATTAATATAACTATGGTACAACTGAATGGAATTCACAGATGCTGTATATACAAAACACAAGAAAAACAAGAAGAAATATTCTTTCTCAGTTAGTTTTAACTAACCCACTGTACCAAAGAAATAATCCACATTTTCAATTAAAAAAATGGGATCAATTAAATAATGTTATGGAGAACTGTAATCTTCCCTAGAACAATCTAATTCATATTTTAAATTATTCCAGTTGAAAAGAACTAAGTTTCTGAGAATGTAACCATTTTTATCATATGCTGGAACTATTTGTGAAAGGATTAAAGTTTGAAATACAGACTGAAAACAAATTGGAACATTTAAAATTTTTATTTCCATTTAACCTATACAAACTCAAAAACAACTGAACTTTCAAACAATTATTAATGATAAAAAGCGGTTATTTTCACATTACTGAATTTAAGATAATTTTTGTAATAAAGAAAGTAGTATAGTCATCATGTCTATAAAAAATATTTAAAAAAAGAAAGAAAGAATGGCTGCTTTAATGAGATAAAAAAATACCAGAGTGATATTTCTTGACAATGTTGTAGACAAGTGGAATGGAGGCAGATTTTAACATTTATTTTTTGTATTTTCTTTACCAAATGAGGCTTGAAATCGTAAGAGCATAACGGAAAAAAGGTCAAAACTGCATAATGAACTGAAAGCACATTTTTTTAAAGAAAAAATAAAAGTTACAATTAAAATTACTTAACAATTAAAAAGCACCAATATATTGCATGTATTGTAGCATCATGGTTATTGGTGGTAAGTGGAATCAACGAGGTGAGTTCAAATTCCACTTAGTTTGTTGCATTCACTTTCACACAAATGTCGTTGGGAGAAAAGTATGAACTAAAAAAAATCTCTTCCTAGGAGTTTGTTAAATAGAGCAGATTGGACTCTCTGGCTTTGAGTGACAACCAGTCTAAGAGGAGAAGGCCTACTCTGAATTGAAATCCAATGAAGAAAAGCAAACCACTAATATTCTCCAAGAAGTCATGGCAATTCACAGATAATAAAGAAATGGGATCTGTGAAATGAAAACTGAAGAAGAGCGATGGTTGCCTATGTCCTTAAGGGCCATGCTAAATAAGCACGTCAATGGATTGGATCTCTACAGAGTGGTTTCAGAATTACTCATTTACGCCACCAAGATAAAATTACAGTTGATGCTTCTTATTAATATTAACCATCAACTGTAATTTTAATATAATTAAAAAAAACTGCGAGATTTATCTATGACTATCGAATTTAATTTCAATACAGTTTCTCACATGTTTGTTATTTTAATTTTACATTCAATCTGATAGGAAGAATATTGAAAAATAAAAAAATTGTAGATACTTGTTAAGAAAATTATGTTCAACATAATTTTTAACGATAAGCAAAAAAAAAAAATACTTAACATACCTTTTTTTTTTTTTAACCCTAACGAAGTAAAAATGCAATCAATATATTTGCATTGATTGATTCCCTAACGTTAACTGTCTTTAATCAAGTTCAATAAAAGAAAACTCTAGAATTCGATTTGTTTTGTTTTTTTTTGCTTACTTACACCTCCTATGGATCAACAATAGGACTACAAATGAGAACAAGAATTAGCCGTAGCGTAAGTAAGGAATTTTTATAACACGACGTAAATTGTTTTTAAAAAGGCATTTTATGAAATGATCTAACTAAATGACTAGTTATCTGATTGGGTAAAAGCAGCATACACAAGAAAAAGCAATGCATTCCACAATTTACAAAACAAGAAAAACTTAAGTGCTGTTTTTCTTTGACTATAAAATAAAAACCGTAAGCAAGTACTTTAAATGGAGCAGTTGTCAACCCAAGTCGAAGCTGCTAGTTTTGAAAGAGTACTAACAGAGCTGAAATTTAAATATAACCTTCACTTCAATGACAAGAAAAGAAATGAAAGAAAAAAAAAATGAATCTGTTTTTTTTACCTTGTAGTGTCCCCCACTTCCCCTAGAGTAATGTATTGCAGGCTCGGCCATCTGGAATGTAAGAAAACTACTGTGTTGTAACCCAAACAAATGTTTTCATCAGTTCATTAGACTAAAAAAAATGAGTCAGCAGCATTAAATTGTGCAATATTGTAATTTTTTTTGAGAGAGAGACAAAAAAAGGAAAAGGAAAAAAAGGTCAGATGTTAGTTAGCTTGGTCAAATAAATTCATAACTTTTTATTTTTAATGGAAAAATGCTTTAAAGTAAGCATGTCCACTGTTTTCGCGGAAAAACAGCATAGCGTAAATGAAAAATGCCACAAACTTAAAGAAAATAAAGTATTATCGTCAAAATGCTTATGTTATTATTTAGATGAAAGAAAAAAGTATTTTTTAATTATTTTTTGAAATTTTTTAATATTTTCTAACACGTTCGAAATTTTGGTTAAAATCGTCTTTGTTTACGTCATCGCGGCGACGTTTAAAATAACATAGTTTTTTTTTGCGTTTTTTTACCGTTGAAAACATATTGATTTGGAAATTCTTGTAAAAATAAAATAATTGTCCAATCTTAATGAAATTTTCAGGACTTATTCACAAATGAATGAAATTATTTTTGAAATATTTTTTTAGAAAATTTTGGTAAAAAAATTATATTTTTTTAAAATATAACATTTACTTAATTTAATGAAATTTCGCCCAAAACCTTTTTGGTTCCTGAAAAAAGTAGGAGTCTTCGAAGATGGTAAATAATCTACTTTTTCTTTCACAAATTTGAGCTATTTAACTGAAAATCTGCTCTGAATTGAAAAATAATGAATCAATAAAACTATGATATTACTTAATTAGAAAAGCTTTTAATTGCTTTTGTAAATAAGTAATATTAAGGACATTATTGTCTGAAGAAATAATTTTTCTGATGAATAATTAATTTTTACAAGAATTTTTTCCTTTTAAGAAATTTTAATTATAATAATTTATAATAGTTTTTTAAATCGTGTAAAGCTCTGTATTAGGAGGGTTCCTCGATATTATGTACTAATTAAGAAAAAAGAAAAAATTTACGATCCAAAATTGCTAAGTTTAATAAATTTAGTTGCGCTACTTTTTTAAAAATAATTTTTTTATGTTGTATTTTTTTACTTAATACATTCCTTATTTCCATGTATGATATACAAAATTGCCATTATTATAACAAGGTCACGTGATCTAAGGGTTTTGTCCTTTCAAAACATTTCGTTTATTAACAGATTGTATTTTCCGATCAGCTGTAAAAGTGTAAACTTTAAATTTTAAATTATTTTTTCTTTTTTTCATTTACTATTTCACTAAATAATTTTATTTTATGTATTGTATTTCCATTTAGTGTGTGTCATACTCAAATAGAATAATTTTTTTTAAAAACTCAGACTTAAAAATTATGTCATTTATGGTCATCAGTAGTAGCTGTCATCGGCTCGTCAATCAATCATTATCAGTAAGATCGAACAACTGAACGGGACCGCTCGTTAATAATTGGTTGTATATTATTTTTTTATGCTATAAGTAACAAAGATTTCTTTGAAATCAGATTACTTTAACTTTAAATTTTTTAATTTTACTAAAATAACGTGTCAGAATTTTTTTAAATATTTTAAAAATCGATAAATTTGTGTTTGTTTACAAATTTCTTAAAATTAAGAAAATGGCCGTTTTTAAGAAAATTTAAAAATTTGAAATTAAATCTGACAATCAAACGTATATAGTTTCTATCTGAAATACACCAGAATTGTTTAATTAATAGAAATCGTACATTTAATTATTAAACTTTCGATTAAAGCTAAAATGAAATCTTCAAGAATGTTTTTTCGTTGTAAAAAATTCATTTTAAACTTCGATATAGAAAATTTATGCCGAAATAGTGGACATACTTACTTTAAAGAAATCCAACCGAACACCAACAATTCACTGGTTCTTAATTTAAAGATCATCACCGCCATTGTTGAAATAAAATACATTGAATACTTTAACTATAAAATTTAAAAAGAATCATGGAAAATAAATATTTTCAGCCTTATCAAAATTATTTTATAATCAACAACAAAAGCATTTTTTTTTGTTTTTAATCAGAGGAATGTTTACACAAGTAATCGCATCCATAACCATACAGAGAAAATTGTATTTTTTTTTCTTAAGAATTGCTAAAGAAATTTTTTTTCTGCGATCGTTAAGAAAAAAGATATTTTTCGAAAATCAGTAATCAGAATATGAGATAGGGTAATTAAAAAAAAAAAAAACTTTTAATATTTTTTTCTATTTTGTTGACGTGCGTGAGTTTATGAAAATGAAGTTGATATAATTTTTCTCAATAAATTTCCAGGGCCACGATTGTAACTGATTTAAATAAAATCTATCTTGTTATTTCCAAGACCAAAAATTTAGAAACCAACACACCAGTGTGTGTTATGCATTAATCATTTTTCTTTTCTATTAATATACAACTTGGTATTTAAGACACCTGAACACATCGAGGAATGACGAAACTGATTCAACTGAGGATATTACCTTTCATGGTAACAAAACAATCGATGAAAATAAAACCGATATTGTCGAAGGTGGTTTTATAAAAAAAATAAATAATGCGATAAAAGAAAACGATATAGAAGGCATTTAATTTTAAACAGGCCTAATTACAAATACGATCTTAATTTTCAAAACTTAAAAATAAATAGCCTAATTAATGGTGGTAAGAATGCCAAATCTATTTTTAGATCGAAGATAATTTAAAAAAAATTAAATCTTCACACGAGTGAAAATTTACATTGTCTTTGATAATCTAATAAATGAGCATCTTTTTTTTTAGCGTAAAAATTGTACACCAATACCAAACAGAATGGTATAAATGGTATTGTTTTTTAGCACTAGTTTAAAAAAAAAAAAAAAAAAAAAAATCGCCTATATTATTATTTACATTTTTTTTCCTTTACAATTTCATATTTTAAAAAGATGGTGAAAATTGGTATGTGCAAACAAAATAAATAAAATAAGAATTTAAGATAATACTGATTTATGAAAGATCCTTTAAGAATTTCTAGTTACCAAATTTACGAAATGACTAAAAAAAAAAAAAGCATCAACTAAAGAATTTATGTAAGATTACAAATTATATCTAAATTGATAAATATATATAATTTTATATTACAAAAATAAAAAAATATAATAAATAAATACAAATTAAAATTTAATCTGATTTAAAGTAACGAAAATAGCATATTTGACCAAATATTTTTCAAATAAATTGGAGCAACGCTTACAAAAATTTAATTTGAATAGATATTTTAACTGATATTTTTTTTTACACTATTGAAGCACATTAAAAGACAAACGTGTCTACCGTTATCAGAAAACATTTCATAATCTTAAAAGAACCGGGTCTAAAATTGACAGACAGATAGTTTGAACAAGAAAAATAAAACACTTCGCATACAATATCTTGCGTATATTACTTACATAGATACTTTTTAAAATCCACTGAAAACAGATTCTTAAATAATAAGATAGATTGTATGAACGATGTTAACTTATTCGTGTAACTTCACTACACAGCTCATGAAAATGGCTGACAGGAAGCATTCACCGAGCCATAGTCTGAACAATTACTGCGCATGTGTTGTGAGTAGATTTCCGTTGTGTAAAAAAATAAAAAAATGCAATAAACTAAAACTAGTTCTTTCATGCAATACTTAGGAGGGGTGCTGAAAAGTTATCGGCCAGACTCCTTACAAAAAAAAAAATGCTAATATTTTGTTAGAATTTGGAAAATAGATTAGAACTTTCCAACACAATTAAAAAAAAAAAACATTTTCCTAATATTTTTCGTTATTTGAGTTCTTGAATTCCTTACTGCTTGTTCCTAAAAGTGAACTAACTTTTATTTAAAAATAAATTCTTTAGGATAAGGAAAAAGATCAATAATAATTTTCTGAAACATACAGCTGTCACTGATAATGAATAAATACTATAAATTCTCTTTTCTAAACATTTTTCTCTCTCTATTGTTCTTTCATATTACACTTTAATTGTTAAAGCTATGTTTCAATAGGGCTTATATGAAATGTTTGGAAATTTGACCCAGCTTTTAAAGTTAAAGGTAACAGAATCAATAAAAGCAACAACGGATTGAAAGTTTAGAGCAGACAATTCTCTCTTTTAGGAGGAAGAATAAAGACTCAAACTCATGCTTGGGGTGTAACAATAGAAGAAGAAAACATTTATTTACATACATGAAAAAAACGTAAAGGGATATATCCAAAATATGAGAGTATGGAATCCTCCATACTTGCCTGTCACCCCTTACAGGAAGATGCACTCTTCCCCAAATTAACCTTTAACCAATCATCACTTCACTTTTCCAAACTCAACTTCCCATTGGTTAAAAGGACACAAAAATGTAGCAAGTTGAGACAAATCCTTTTTTTCCTGTGCAGCTGTCTGGAGCCTATTTGAAAACCCAAAAATCTATAAAAAAGAATCGCTCGACTTAATTCAAGTCAGTCAGACACTGAGTTTTGAGAGATGCCAGCAGACTCCACGCATGCCAACACACTGACTCAATAACACTACCAGCCTCTCATCAACTCAACACAACTCACACCACTATTGCCGCGTGAAGAAACTTAACTTACAATTTACTAAAAAAGTGACATTATCACTACGAAATAGTAATTGTACATTTAATCAACTTTAGCATATCAGTCAAAGGCACACAACTCTTCATAACTTGAAAACACTTACAATTGTTGCACACATACACACTATTATTTGAACTCATACAATTGACATTTTACCTTGCAGAAATCAAACTGTTTTAATTTCACAAACAAACTTAAACCATCAACATTCATTCACCAAGTCTTTGCATGGACATTCTTTGCAATCTTATCTCACTTGCCACATTTAACAAGCAACCTATCATCACTTTGTATATGTCAAATATATATATATAAATTCATGTTATTGTTAAAATCTGTAACTACATTGTTTTACCTTGATTTCTTCAAATTGAATTGTCTTCATATGTTCGTTTAATTTATTTGTTGTTAATAAATGCATAACGTACAGGCACATTTTTGGCCTTCACACAATTTCACCTTTTGATACATCTTACTTAGCATAAATTCTGCAACAAGAGAAAAAAAGGGAGAAGAAAGTTCCTTTAAATTAAAGGAAGAAAGTGTTCATATAAAGGCTTGCTCAAAAATATTTCTCTGAGTGCCTAAAAGTTCTTTAAGTAAGTAAATTGTTCTTCAGGGGTTAACACTCACATAAGATTTCTTCAGAGATCTTGTTGAGGGGGAAGCAATCAGAATATCCATAGTTTGTAGTTGAGTAATTTAGTAGTAGAGGATGATGACAGGAATTTCAAGGTCCTAGGAAGCAGATCTCAAGTAGTTTTTAGTAGAGGGCTGATGTTCTGTCTTTAGAGCCCAGCATGTAGATTTCTTCCTAGAAACAGGTTCCAAAGATGACTGGTGTTATTGTCACCAACCTGATGTAACACAGACAATATCCAATACTCACTGCCAAAGAGGCGCATGTTCTCCATATTTATCGAGATTAGAAGGCTCAGAAATATCGGGAACTTTTCCCTCCAAAATTGCTATATAATTTCCTGGACCTCTTGTTCATCAGAAAATATATTCTTATCTCTGATGAAAATCAAAGGTTTGAGAGCTGGATTTGGGAGCTGGTTTTGAAAGCAAGAGTCTGACAAGTTTTGAGTGTTACCCCCTGACTTTAAGGCACCATGGTCAAGACAGGGGTTGTCAAATTCCTTTTTATATTTTCCAGTCTTCTCATCCATCAGAAAATATATTCTTATCTCTAATAAGGATCAAGGCTTTGGGAGCCAGATTTGGAAGCAGGGGTGAAAGCCGAGGCAAATATCAGAAAAGAGGTTAGAACATGAATTTGTAAAACATTGTAGAAGTGGTTCTCAAATTAAATTCTAATAATGTTTTTCTTTAAATAATATTTTACATTGTCTGAAACACTTCATACTAATTGGTAATTTACCATTCAAAGTATGTTCTGAAAGCATAAAAATCTTACCATTAAATTTATCTACACTTGAAGCATGAAATATCATTTAATTGGCATAATTTTTTCCTAGTACAAAGTAAAACTGAATTTTATAGTATTTAAATGTTAATTATTATTAACTTTTGACAAGTATTTCATATTAATTTCTGATGCATTTTTGTTACAATTTTGTTATTCTATGATCATCACTAAGCAATATGGATAAGAATTGTAGCAGTTTTGCCAGAAACACATGCATTGAAAACCCTATCAGCTTTTGGGCATCTGTAAAAAAAAAAACTGGGAGCATGTGTAGTGCAAATCCCAAGAGGCTTTCCCTCTTTTACACAATGTCATGGTTGAGGTATGATGTTAAACTTAGTGCTCCAAGAACAGATGCACATGGCTTAAACAAGATACCTTACTTTTTAACTCACCAACAAAGTTCAACCATTTCTTCATTTTCTACAGAGACTATCATAAAAAAATTCCTTGTATTTACACTTTTTTTGGGGAACTATCCTTGAACATTCTCTACACAAAAAATTTCCCAAAAGAATAAATATTTCTATCTCATTTTATTCCATTCTCCTGTTTGTCTATTTTCTCAACTAATTCAAAACTTGTAGTTTTTGTTTGTTAACATAAGATTCCTTCTCAATTTTAAACAACAACCCCAAACTTAGCACAACAGAATAAAGATAATACCTCCCTCTGGCAAGACTCAAAAAGAAAAATTTCACCATATGTTTGATGATCTTAGATCTGTAGGAACCAAAACTGCAATAAAAAAATAAAATAAGGACATAGATAAAACGAATGTAGTAGAAGTGGATTGCTTCTCTTAGACATGTAGTCATGTGACCCTAGTCATGTGGTACATGTATAAAAAGTAGCACATTTTCAGAAATCTTTCTCTTACCTATTTTTTTATGTTCCTTGAACAACTACTGCCCAGTATGTAAGTAATTTTGGCACAACTGTCAAGCACTAACACGCGCTAGTGCGTATAAACACTCACACTTGCTGTTTCCAAAAATTATTTTTATAGAAATACATTGTTGTTATTTTAAACAAAAAATGTTGTTTATTTGTTTGACACTGCTTTTAGTTCAGCTAGAAGTAGTGACTGCAATAGATCTGTAGATGCTGCCTGAGAATTGACTTTGGCAACGAAGACCCAGGTAACCTTTCTCCAGGCATGCATGATTTGCACAGGCATTAACATGGTGCTATTCAGCCAATAACATTCAGTGGTGTGAAGTTTAAGTTCTAGGGAATTGAAGGAAAATCTCTTTTTTTTTCCCACATGGCTTCCATGGAAAAAAGATCGTCTAAATTTTAGCAGTGTGCATAACCCCTAATGTTAACTGAGAGAAAATTTAGAAAACTTATCTATCAAGTCAGTCAAACTTAGCAAGTAATTCTCACAAGCTACTCATTCCTACTAATACAACACCAGTTATACCTACAATATTAGTCATTTTGTATTTTTTCAGGCATATTATTCCATTTCACCAAATAAATTCTTTTTGTTTGTTTTTAATCCTGTTTAATCCTCTTGCTTAATTTATTTCAGCACAAACCAAGCTGACCATATTCCTTTTGGCTTTTCTTTGTGGGATCAACTTTGTCTGCCAAAGGAATTTACTTAACGTTGCTAGGTGATATCTATTCAGGACTATAAAAGGAAGGAATATAAACCCTCTCTTTCTCTTTTTTTCTCCAGTATGTAATAATAACACAGAACCTTTCCCCTCTAAGGAGACACTTCCCAGGCAGGCTGACTGCTTGATTTCAACCCCACAACATGGCACATCATATGCATGCACACACACACACATACTACAACTAAACACATAAATGTTTAGTTTCCATTGTTTTTTTCGCTATCCACATACATGTAAATATAATTTTCTCTTCCTCTTCTTTTACCTCTATTGAGGTAAATTATAGGTAGGTTCAGATCTAAAAAATCATAAGTGTGAAGTCATAATTCAAAGGGTCTAAATCAATTTCATAAGTCCAACATCAGAAAATGCAAGGGGCCTAAAACAAGAGGGTAACAAAATCAACATCACAACTTGCAACACACAACTGTCTTTTTCACCCTCAAAGAGCCAAACAATGCTATGGTCTAAAGTAGTGTTTTTTTTTATTGGTGTAAGAAAAGTCAAAATTAGTCAAGACTTATGGGGAAACCATATGGAAGCCAGTTACCATATTTTGAGGCTTACTAAAGTCAATCCAATCTTGATTCTGTTTTTCTTTTTTCACAGATAGCACAGAGAACACACATTCTTTTTCAAGGTAAGACTTGATTTTCTCCTTTGTTTCCACATTAAGCTATGTTGTTACTTATATAAATATATATGAAAAGCCCTCTATGTGTTGAACAAATCCATTAGGGCTAAAATTCTATAATACACAAAAATACAGCTTGTTATGGGCTGGTTATGCGTTTCTCAACTTGTTGCAGGAGTTAGTAATGTCAGTGTCTGAAATTGGGAATAACACACTGTTTCTTGAAATACCCACAACAAATATGGCAA